TGGGGGTGGGGGGGGACAAGTTTTATTTTAATAAATAAATCTTACTGTTGGCTGCTCCAACCACAGGCCCAATTTGTGGTCTTCTCACGGGTGATGAAGGTGCTGACTGGCTTTGTCTGGTGGGGGGAGAGGGGGGGACGGTTGTGCTCGTTGTTGGGGGCAGCGTTGTGGGGAACACTAGAGGGGAAGAAAGGGAAGCAATGGTCATCATAATAATAAAATAATAAATTAATTAATAGCATTTGTATAGCGCATATCCCCTCTCAACAGCAGGCTCTAAGCGCTTTGCACTATATTATTACCCCAGCAGACCATAGATCACTCTGAAACATTCTCAGCTTCCTGGGAAGCATACAGTGCAAGCAGCTGATTAAGCGCTCAAACACTTACAAACTGACAAGATCTTTCGCTGTTTATAGCCGGGTACCCATTCCCACCTGGGTTAAGTGAGGAAAATTCATGTAAAGTGCCTTTCCCAAGGACACAACGTCAGGCTCCTGACGGGATTCGAACCCACGACCTTACGGTTGCGAGTCCGAGAGCCTAACAACTAAGCCACCAACGAATGAGCTAAACGGAAAAACTTGGCTTTATCAAGCAATAATGTTTGACTAGCTCCAGAGGTAGACAGCGATTAGCTCACTACTATTCCTGAGTATTTACGGGATGCCCCACCGGCCCTGTGGCCTAATCCTGTGTATTTACAGGACGCGATTTATCATTCAAAATCTCCGGCCTTTTCTCGTTACAAACTACATGAAGCGGCGAGGCAACAGTTGACATAGTTGTTTCGTTTCGTTAAAAATTTGGTAGGTAAAGTTACGCATGACACTTTTTGAGCGGTAACGGACTAAGTCAGTCACCCCAGCATTGTGATAGATAATTTTATGAATAAACTGGGGGCAAAAAAAAAATGGTGCCATTTCAAATTATTGCTAAAATATAAACTGTTTGGACAAATTAGACGCAGTTTTCTTTTTCTGTGAGAGAATTTCTTTCTTCGTTTTGTTACACTATTTGTATTATGATAGCTTTCACAGTACTTTGGCAGTCAACGATTCAATCTACCCCAAAACTGTCTGGCTGTAATGGCTGTTGGGGGAAAAATAGCTCAGGCTCAAGTGAGTTAATTGTGAGGCAGCGTGGTGGAATCAGACTCTCGTCAAAATAATGAAATCGAAGAAAACAGCAGTTTTCTCCCTGCTTAGCAATTTTTATCAAATTTTTGTTTTTTGGCTCAACACCTTTTATGTCCATTTACAAACACATTCCTTTGAGAATTTCACCGAAAACGTTGATTAAAGGCACAAAAATATAAATTTACAGTTTCCATGGACTCTCCAGCTTTGGAATTTACCGAGTTTTGGCGACCATTTTCTCGCTAATTTTACCTCTTAAATCAGGTGACCCCCACCTCTTTCAATTCAAAATATCTCCACTTCTATAGAAGATGAATGGGTAATTTTTTCATTGAAAGCAAGACAAATGAACAAGCTTTAAGATGATACCAATACCTCAATATGCCCAAAAATTGACGAGAGCCTGATTCCACCACGCTGCCTCACAATTATAAAAACTACAACTGTGAACGGGCACTGGACACAGCTGATGTAAACAACACACTGAGCAAAACACTTCAATGTCGAGAAGCACAAGACAACAAGTGAATAGAGATGCAACAAGAGATACATCACAACAGCAATATTGTTATTTTCCTGTAGATGTGCTTATCAGACAGGAAGAAACATCTGGCATTATTGAAGTGGTAACCATTTTGCCATCATTTTAAAAAAAATACAGTGTATGCAATTTTTACAATTTTACAGGAGAGCCAAAAAACGGAATGCTGTTTCAGAGAAAACAAGTTATTGTTTTAACGAATACATTTTTGATAATAACTTCCTTATTATCTTTAAAGCAAATGTCGTTTTAAGGGTAACAGTATTCCGGTTTGTTTGTTTTTTTGGCTCTTCTGTAAAATTGCAAAAAAACAGCATATACTCTACTTTTAAAGATGATGGCAAAATTGTACCTGACTTGGTATCCAATAGAATACAAACCAAACTGTGGTTTAGTCTCAGGAGAAAAACGCGAATTTGGAAATGTCTCTCTCTCTCTCTCACTCTGTGTGTGTATGTGTGTGTGTGTGTGTGTGTGTGTGTGTATGTGTGTGTGTGTGT